GAAAATCTAAGATAAGCCTTCAAAGATAAATTACGGACAAAAATGTTGTCTTTGGTGCAGGTAAATACAGTGTGAAAATATTTCACAATATGCCAATTGTGCTCTTCTATTTGGGATATCTTGTCAAACATAACAGTCATTTTCTCTGGAACAATGCTGGAACCCTCACTTCAGACTGTTATATTTTAAAATCTTTCTGAAATGATAACGGAACAGATAATTTTGTGGAGGAAAAACAAGCACAGACCCTCTCCCTTCTATCTAATGAAAAAGAAATTTTATCAACTTCTAAATAAAAATACTAAGGCCTAATGAATCCTACCAAACTCAGCTTCTGTTTAATTTGATTAGTATTATATATTAGAGGGCAAAATAATAATTATAATAATAAGTTATTAAATTTATATGCTGTCTGACTCCCAGCGATTCTGGGCGGTTTACAATTGTTAAAATATTTATATAATCTTAAATATATAATCTTTAAATATAAAATATTTAAAAGCAAAGAACAATACCAAAAAACACAAAAACAGCAACAAGACAAAAGAACAAAGATGGCAAAGAAAACAAACGGGAACAGAAAGGAAGAGGTGTCAATCATCCTCTCCAAAGACCTGGGCAAAGAGTCATGTCTTTAAGGCCCTTCAAAATACCAGTAGGGTGGGAGCTATTAGAATTTCGAGGGGAACCTCATTCCAGAGGACAGGTACTACTACAGAGAAGTTGCGCTTCCAGGGTCCAGACAGATGCATTGTTTAATCGATGGAACCTGAAGTGTACCCACCCTGCCAAATCGAACCAGTCAGGCAGATACTATAAGACACAGGCGATCCCTCAAGTAACCAGGTCCTATGCCATGTAGGGCTTTATAGGTAGTGACCAGCACCTTGAATCTCACCCAGAAGCAAACTGGCAACCAATGCAGCTCACAAAGCAGAGGTGTTACATGGGCATACCAAGGCATGCCCATCACTGCCCATGCCGCTGCATTCTGGACCAGCTGAAGCTTCCAGGTGGTCTTCAAGGGCAGCCCCACGTAGAGTGTGTTGCAGTAGTCAAGCCATGAGGTGGCCAGGGCATGAGTAACTGTCTGAAGGGCCTCCCGATCTAGGAAAGGGTACAACTGGTGCATCAAATTAAGCTGGGCAAAAGCCTTCCTGGCCACAGCTGCCACCTGCTCAATGAGCAGGAGCTGGAAGTCCAGGGAGACCCACAAATTGAACACCTCTCCTGAATGGGGAAGTGTAACCCCATCCAAAGTCAAAGTTGGAATATCCCCAGATCTGGGCAGTCCAAACACTCTCATGGACATATAGACAATAGTTTGCATGCAAACAGGTTAAGAAACCAAGATCTTTACTGTAAGCACATGATGTATTTGGACTAGAGATTGGTATAATACGGAACTAAATATTCTGAGCTGAGGAAGTAGGACAGTCTGTTATTTTAAGTAAATGTGACCAGGTCACATGAAATGACATGTAGTGCCACCTGTTAAGTGGCCCCTCACAACTCAACATACAGTTGTTTTCCACTATTACTCTTAAATAAAGGAAAACAGAAACAAGTACTTCTTGCCTGTTCCATAATAATCCAAATTAAGCTCTGATGATAATGACCATAGCTCAGAAAGGCACTTAGAATTGGGGGTGGTTAAATAACTGTTTTTAGGCTGGTTGAAGATCAACAACATAATCCATCTTGACATTTAAACCTGGCTGAATTCTGTGTGCACAGAAATATTCAGCTGTGTTATTTGTATCCAATAATTAGGGAATGAATCTTGTACCAAACCTTTCTTTTCAAAATAAGTCCTTAAAGCACAATTTTGAGTTTGCCATATTGGACTTGGAAACAGTAGTGAACATGTAAAGTGTAATGTGTGCACTCTGGGTTTTTGAATTTGCTCAACTCTGTAGTGAGGGTAGCTACTAGGAAAAACTGCATAACATTTTTCAAACACTTCCCCAAAAAGCTAGCTGATAACCTACCTTTTCAAACTGATGTACCCGGAAAATGCCTCTAGTATCACGACCATGAGAACCAACTTCCTGGCGGAAGCAAGTAGACAGCCCAGCATATTTGATGGGCAGATCTTCTGGCTTCAGCCATTCATCCCTGTGCAATGCTGCAATTGGCTGTTCAGATGTAGCAATCAGATACTTTTCATCAATGGTATTGTCATCGTTCTTTTCACTGCTTTTTCCCAGGACCTAAGAAGAAGTTTGCAAATCAGACAACTGCAATAACACAGTTTTATCCACAAGCTGTCTACTTTAGGTGAATACAAGTTTAAATTAATGCATGTATGTGCATTGCAAATCTACTTACACATTTAAAATATTGTTGTAAGAGCCACTAGTATCTAGACATGGGCCATCTTTTTTTGCTTATATTTATACAATGCATACTTCTATTAACTCTCTTATCTTCCACTTTAGCAGCCTAATCTGTTTTTTTGCTAAAATTGTCCTCACAGAAGGTGAAAAATTGTCAGGTCAGAAGGGGAGTCAAACAGAATTAAGTACTGGATAGTAGTAACAGTCACAGAAAAGGAGTGGGGAACCCCTCCCATGCAATCCTCACCAATGGCCATGGTGGCTGGGCTACTGGGACCTGTGATTCAGCAGTAGATTATTGCTGAAACTAGGCATTCATCACATCTGTCATAAGCAAACTTAGGATACCTTTCAGTGAAGATCAAGAGATCAGCAATATTGTCCCATATGAAAATTTCATTAACTATCTCCATTTATGAGTTCCCAAAGGGGTTAAACACTTCAGAATTTCATTAAAAATATTAGAGTAAGACAGACAAAACAGGATATATGTTATTATTAAGAATAATGATAAGAAACGCTTTAGTCTATGGGCCTAACAGACTTTTTAATCATAAATTATTAGCATTTACTTACAGTAGGAACATTTCTTTTATAAGAGAAGGATAAACTTATGAATTAAAACCGATATATAGCTAATAACCCTAGTGAAATTTTACCAGACTACATGAAAGATTCCCATGACTCCATGAATAATCCAATTACCCATTAAAATAGCAACAAAAAGATTGTCTAGAAGCCAGCTTTTCTTACATCTTACCTTGTAGAGCTCTTCATCAAACTGACTTAGCTGGGCTACTTCCTGCATCACTTCTTTTCTCATGAAGAAGGGGGTATAAACAGGGGTATATCCCTTGATGAGCAGTGTCTGCAGGGCGTACTGAATGAGGGCTTGCTCTAGAAAAACCAAAGGTCCCTACAAGGAAATAAAAAGAGGTTAAAATCATGCTTCAAAAAGGCCTCAGTAACTTATATTCAGATTATCTTCTACAGCTAAGTAGAAGACCAATTTACAGTAGCTTAATTCATCCAAGCTTACTTTAAATGCAGTGTGGGGATCATATTCACACCCCCACCCTGAGATAATGTGATTGAAGTATTATTCCCAACAGTCCCAGCCAGATGAGGGCTTCTGTGAGTTATATTTAGCAACAGCTGGAAAGAATTAGGTTCCCCACCTTTTCATGAAGATGATAACCATTACCTTAAGGAAGTATCCTCTACTTCCAGCTACAACAGCTCCTTTTTCTCCCTCATAGCCATCCACCATGACAACAAGGTCGACGTGAGAATACTTCTTCCTTACAGTGCAGTCTCCCCATACTCTCTCTTCTTTATTATCTACATCCTTTCAGTTTCATAAAAAGAAATATACTTTGACTGAACTAACCAAGAGAAAGCACATCTGTTCCAAACAAGAATCTACTGGACATTTTGTTTATTCACAACTCTGACTTCCATTTGGTTGCACACTAGCATTTAATAAACTGGCCAGAAGTCTTTCTGCATTATACTGTTCTCTGCTTACATCCATTGTGGTGAGCACTGCAAGGACTACCAAGAGATGACTGATATCAGAGTTTGGTCTGATATGAAAAGATAAGGACTGCTCTGGGAAGCAAAGATTATGTTCAGTAAAATGTACTATTTGGCAATCCAGGTGACTGCATACATTCTGACGACTACTAAAATTCTAATGAGACCTATCCAACAGTGTTACTATACTAAAAATGGTCTTGCTGGACATTGGTTCTGCTGACCATTCAGCTACCTTCAGTTCACCCTTAACTGTTATTTACCAGCTGCTATCAGGCTGCAGAGCACAGGGAGAGAAAGAAGGACCAGTCTATCAGCTCTTCTGGCTGCTAAAGAACTCTGTCACTTTCAATAACAGATGCCAGAGTGTACTTCATTCCATCTTTCTTATTCTATTTGGATCACATATTTTAAATTGTAAGGCCAACAGACTGCATTGCCTTGTCTTTACTTGACCTGTGAGCTACCGTGGGTGCTGTTTTGCCTGAGGAGCAAGGTAAAAATGCTCTAAATAAACAAAATGGGGTTGATGTTATGCCAAACACTCTGTTTGTTTCCCATTTATATTCCAAACAAGAATAGGATTTAGCACTTATTTGGTTCCGTTATATTTGTGGCTCCCCTCTTTGAAGACAACTACATTATACTGCAAACCATATTAAATTCTCAGTCTCCTCACCAGGGATTTGCCATGTCCACACTACAGATGTGCAAAAAAGCACCTGAAATTAGATTCTCAAGATTGCTCCAAATTGATTATAACCAATCACATGTATGTTTATACACAGTGCATGAATTTGCCCCTACCTCATCATTGCTGATTGGCACAGAGGGGTGAAGAAGATTTCCAATTTCTCTGAGGTTTTCAAAGCGCTCTGCTTCCAGTTTTAAGCGTTCTTCATCACATTTCAGGATTGCTTCATCAATCAGGAGACGGATTTTCTTGATTTGGCTGACTTGAAGGCTCTAAAGCACAAGAGAATGGCTGGGCATGTCAGCATGTCATAATCAGAAAATTTAAAAAGTCCTCTTGTAAAAAGAGGATTTTAAGGGGGTGGGGCTGTAACTGTATGTTCATCATATTTTAGCTGAAAGTTTATTACTCCAAACCGCAACTCAGGTAAAGTGTTTGGCTTCCATGAGGAGAGCCTCATAAAAAGCTAATTTTGACACACTTTAACTGAGTAGTAACAATAACATGACAATACAAGGACTAGTTGGCAAAGCTACTAATCCAAGAATGAGAGAGGTCACTAATGAAATGCAGTAGCATGGATGTGTCTATTCAGGATTATAGACAGCCAAGACTTCTAAAGTCCCTCATGCTATTTTCCACCTTCCCTGACTTAACATGTCTTATGAATGGAGCCATTTTGGCATGTAAGCCATGATAGATTGCTTAGCATATTCAAACACAGTAAGTTGTTTATTTACTATCAAAAAGCAAGCCAAAGCGTAGCATAATGTGTGAACCCAACTAATATATTTTAGCTCAGAGTATAAGAGAAATGGAAGAATACACCTAAAAAAAAATTGAGCTGTAGTTTAAGGACAAGTGAATAGGACAGTAATGGAAATAACTCAAGAACACACAAAGAACAGAAATCCATCAAGTTGTACATACATCCCTCCCCCAAATTTAAATCATATAACACAAGTATCACTTTCTCAAATACAGTGCATTGAAAGCCAGTGAATAACAAAATAAGAAATGAACTTACTGTTAAGATGTCTGCTGTGAGTTCATCAAGATTTTGTGCATTATCTGGTATCTGGTCACTATTACCCACAGGTTCTTTCTTCTGTAAATAGAAATATTAAAAACAAGGAAAACAGTAACAGGTCAGCAAAGAAAAAAAATGATAGTAAAGATTAAATAGCTTTCAGGGCACCTTTGCTCTGAATTCCATTTCTAGAGTTTCAGAAAAATTTAGTTACTGATACTAGGTGTCAGTGAGCTGGACAATTATACAGTGGGGCAAAAAAGTATTTAGTCAGCCACCAATTGTGCAAGTTCTCCCACTTAAAAAGATGAGAGAGGCCTGTAATTTTCATCATAGGTATACCTCAACTATGAGAGACAAAATGAGAAACAGGAGAGAGAATACTGAGTTGCATCCAAAGAACACCATACCTACTGTGAAGCATGGGGGTGGAAACATCATGCTTTGGGGCTGTTTTTCTGCAAGGAGAGAGAATACTGAGTTGCATCCAAAGAACACCATACCTACTGTGAAGCATGGGGGTGGAAACATCATGCTTTGGGGCTGTTTTTCTGCAAGGAGAGAGAATACTGAGTTGCATCCAAAGAACACCATACCTACTGTGAAGCATGGGGGTGGAAACATCATGCTTTGGGGCTGTTTTTCTGCAAGGAGAGAGAATACTGAGTTGCATCCAAAGAACACCATACCTACTGTGAAGCATGGGGGTGGAAACATCATGCTTTGGGGCTGTTTTTCTGCAAGGAGAGAGAATACTGAGTTGCATCCAAAGAACACCATACCTACTGTGAAGCATGGGGGTGGAAACATCATGCTTTGGGGCTGTTTTTCTGCAAGGAGAGAGAATACTGAGTTGCATCCAAAGAACACCATACCTACTGTGAAGCATGGGGGTGGAAACATCATGCTTTGGGGCTGTTTTTCTGCAAGGAGAGAGAATACTGAGTTGCATCCAAAGAACACCATACCTACTGTGAAGCATGGGGGTGGAAACATCATGCTTTGGGGCTGTTTTTCTGCAAGGAGAGAGAATACTGAGTTGCATCCAAAGAACACCATACCTACTGTGAAGCATGGGGGTGGAAACATCATGCTTTGGGGCTGTTTTTCTGCAAGGAGAGAGAATACTGAGTTGCATCCAAAGAACACCATACCTACTGTGAAGCATGGGGGTGGAAACATCATGCTTTGGGGCTGTTTTTCTGCATATTTTTCCCCATTTTGTCTCTCATAGTTGAGGTATACCTATGATGAAAATTACAGGCCTCTCTCATCTTTTTAAGTGGGAGAACTTGCACAATTGGTGGCTGACTAAATACTTTTTTGCCCCACTGTATAAAAGGAGGTTGGATAAAGTAAACAAACCAGAGTGTGTAACTTCAATTTACTATGATTCTGGTCAATGGCTGTAATAAAGTTTTTGATTTTAATAGAATGTACTGCACCTTCATTTTTTCTCCTATGGTTTTGCTGCACAGGTTCTTCAGTTTGTTCAGGTTGTCTGCACGGAATCTGCCTAGAAGAAATGCATTGAAAATAATTTACAGAACCTAATGTTTAAAGGACAAACTTTTCAATACAATGGTAAGGCTACTGACCTTTGGGGTTACTACTACTGGGAATAAAATACATTTATCAAACAACAGATGGAGAAAAGTACTATAGAAATATTAGAAAATTACGTTTTCTAATAGAAGTGAAAAGCTCCCTCTGCACACAAAGTGAACTATACTAATAACTAAAAAACCATACTGGACTTTTGCCTCATTTGCCTCGCATTTCTTTTGCAATCTGAGTCATAAGATTGACAAAAGCCACTAAAGAGTGGCAGTTAAATCTTATTTTGATAGTGGCAATGGGCTACTATCTTCCACCATGTGAGGGTGGTGGCTAGATTAAAGGATCCAAGATATGCCATATGGCATATATAACTCTCTCCTCCAATACTGATCTACAAGGCAGCTGGTTCACTCTCCTGCACTTCCCTTCCCTGACATCTCTACTTCACCTCTAACTGGCAAGATGACCATTTGCCCTGCTGGCCTCAATCATTCTGAGATGGCTAAGGGGATACACTGCAAGATGGTTGTGGCACTGCCTGTGCAGGGAGATACTACAACCACCGCACATTGTGTTGTGAGTCGGGCAGCATTTATTATTGTTATTTTGCTGCCTAACCAAGTCTACCACCAAAAGCAGCTGCTTCATTGTATCAAAAGGTGGGACCAACCTACAAATGTAGAGGACTACTCTTACTGAAAGAAACTACTTCCATTTCTGAATGGAATGGAATTCATTTTCAACTGAATTGCACTTTGCATGGCTTGGAAAAATGAAGAATACAAATAATCTGAATATCTCATTCTGCTGTTGCATTACACAGCAATTTTAATTGATCTGAAATGGTAGACCTTCTATCACTTTCAAAGCCTTAGTGCCTCATGATGCCAAGGGCAAGAGAAAGATGGAGATGCTTTTCCGGGCTTCTCATTCTTGACCAATTCTAGGCTGATTCAATTGATCCAAACCTAATTCTGTCCTACCCTTAAAATAACTTGCATTAAATCCTTTTACTTGTCTTTAAAGAATGTTTATTAAAATATTTCTATATCACTTCTCATTCATAGAATCCTGAGGTGGCTTATTATACTATAAAATGATAAATAGTCATATTATAAATGATGAATTTTCAAAGGACATCATGCCCCAAAATACAGGTCTTTCATTCTTTTTGAAAAATAAGGCAGCACTGCCAAACAGAAAATGAAACTCTAATGTGGTGTATTTGCAGCGTCCAGGAGTCATTTTCCAGGGTGATGACAATTACATCAGGATTGCATCAGATTCAGATGCACCAGTACCTGAACGTTGTACAGTACTGTCAAATAGAGTAAGTTTGCCAATTTAAAGAGCACTGCAATGCTGAAAAAATGGCAAAATCTACCCGACAGGGGAGGGGGCTGACTGCACAATATATTTTTCATGACAAAACAAAAAAACCCTCTACAGCCATACTTGTGGGATGCTTTCCCTTAAGATGGCAGGGAAAAATAGGGAACTCCAAGGAGAAACTGAAGCCCCCCCAAACTTTCTGGATTACTCTTTCGTTCACAAACTTTCACTTTAAACCTGTTTCCAGATTAGGCCTTCGAGATTACAATATGGAGAAACTCTCCGCGTGTTGCAGGACACCAGCTGAGGGGCGCCTACCCCGACAAAGCTAAGGGAGGGAGGAGATACTCTCTATTGGGGCTCGTTCACATGAAAACAAAGAAGAAAGCATAAGAGCAACCCTTGTGGACAAGATCAAAGATCTTCGCAGGGACCCCCGCGTTACGTTCCCAACCAGATGTCAAGGGGGAAAAAATCACAAGCAGGACAAGAGCACGCGAGCCCCTCCTCTTCACGCGCTCCTGTCACTGGCACGGACTCGACCATTACGGGTAACACGCGGCCACCATCTGCTAACAGATCCCTCCTTTCCATCGTGGCACAAGCCAGATGGGTGTCAAGACGCTAAAAGCGGAAGGGAGGAGCAGACACGCGTATGAATGGGACGTTCAAGCAGACCCGGCGAGTGCGCAGGAAGGGACGCGAGAACAAAACGGGCCACAAGGCTGCCGGTCCCGGGTCGGGCAATGGCTCTTCGCCTCGCTTTCTGACAAGCCCCGCCGCGGCAATGGGCCTCGGCCCCCCAACTCCTCACTCACATCTCCGCCAGGCCCCGTCGGCGGCCACCAGCGCGTCCACGAGAGCCGGGTCCTTGAACCGCTTCAGCTGCGTCTCTCGCACGAGCTCGGGGTCGCCGCCTTTGTCGGCGCGGAAAAGGTCCAAGTCGAGCACCATGGCGGCGAAAGAGGTCCGCCGAGGCCGAGAGGAACGAAACGGAAGACTGACCGGCGGCGCCCCAGCAACAGAAGGCGAGGTGGCAGGGAAGGGAGCCGAAGCACGCCTGCGCAGTAGAGACGCAGAGGAAGGGGACTGCGCGCGCGCCTGAAAGAATGCCCCTGCCTTAGGCTTGGTAGGGGAGCTCGGGCGCCCCCTGGCGCTTTCCTGGGTATTCTCGCTCGGCGCTCCCTGCCAAAACACACCTGCCGCGGTAGAGGGAAGGAGACCAGCTTTACTGGTTCCACGCCTGCTGTAGCGAAAAGCGAGTTTAGGTGAAACTAAGAGAGACTTACGAATAGCTTCGTGAAAGCTAAGAACCTCCCCGACCTCAAGCACTACAGCTCACACCATCCGCTAATTGTCTGTCGTGGCGATTATGGCCGGGCAAGCTGAGTGGGTAGCGCTCTCGTAAAACCCTTTAGATTTTAAAGCACGTGGCTCTTCCTTTCCCGTTTTTTATTCAGAGGATGTGATTGTTTTACTGGATATAAAAGAGCATAAACGAGAAAAACCTTGGACTTTTATCGCTCTCTGGGTTACCAGAGGTTTTAATGGCTCATCGCTCTCTGAAATCAAGACTAGCAAGGGCGAGCTGCAGTCCTTCGCTCCGATGTTGCTGAGTTGCCGCTCCCAGCTCTTCTCTCAGGAGACGACGCTGCCCAGGGCTGCTGCAAGCCATGGTTGTGCATTTGGACAGCTGCAGGTTGTCCGCCCCTGCACTAGAGAGCTACCACTCATCAGAGTCTGGTCTAATCTGCCTTTGTTTGGTTTTCTTGTACTTGAAAATAAAATACAAAACCATTGTGGGTTTGGATAGAAACTGCTGTAATGGGGGTTTCTCAATATTTTCATCTCAAGTGTTCCCAGGTGGTTGGCCACCATGAACAATTAATAATGGTGTACACATTCCAGTATCCTTTATCATTCAATTGATCTAAAGATATGTTAGAAAATAGATTTCTAGTAAATGTATGTTAACTCTTGTACCCAGAGGAGTATTTCTGTATATTCCATAGAATGGAGATTCAGTGGTTATTTCTCAGCTTTCCACAAGCTGGCAGTCTCCTTACCAGGTAAAGGTGATGGGCTTATAGTCCAACACATTGCATAGCAACAAATTGGAGAAGGGTGGGGTTCACGAAGGGGAAAAGGACATCTGTTTTATTTTGGTTTTATCTCTCTTTTTGCTCCTAGTTGTTCTCATGTATCTTTAAGTTGTGTGGATCAGAGCTGTGTAATAACAGATGCACTTTGCAAATAAAAGCTCCTAGCCACGGCATCTTCAGTTAGGTGGGCCTAGAGAAATCTGAGATCCCACAGACCTGTTGTTAGGCAAGAGAGCAGGTGCAGGGCAGCTCCTGTTTTATTTTCTACAGCTTGAATACTAGACAACATTGTTATAAAAGATGACTAAATAGAGATCTGCAGCTTTTCTTGGTCTTTCCTTTTCAGTTCTTCTAAAATGAACAAGAAAAAAGTGAAAGCTCACATCAAAAGTCATAAATGTACATTAGTCCTTAATCAAAAATCCACATGCAACTGTTGCCTCCATAAATTATAAAATTCTATTGACCTTATAAAAACAACCCAGCCCATTATGTATTTAGAGCAAAATAAGCTGCAGTTTATCATCACAAGGCTGAAAAGCTCCCCCCACAGCTTTATAAATATAATTAAATCAATTCTATACAGAGTTGCAAAAATTCATTGTCATCTGTTTAAGAAATGTATCATCTTGTAGTCCCTGAATAGCAGTTTTACGATTCATCCATCCATGCTCTGAAAAGTCCTTGAAGATTACTACTGGAATCATAAAATATCTGACTTATTATTGATCATATATTACAAAGATTACAGTTTCTTCCAAAAACAGTTTCAAACATGTACAAAATATTGTAGAAACAAAAATTCCCCTCAGAATAATAAATCACAACTTAATACAAAACAGTAATGCTGTTATGCTATTAAATAGACAAAATTACCTTTCCTGTCAAACATGTGAATTACAGTTGGGCCACATTCTCACAGATGACATATCAGAAAATCTAGGTACTGTAGTGTGTTTCCTAGCCTCTACAGTAGGTAACATTAGGTAAGAATAAATAGGCTTAACTCTAGCATTGCTATATTTTGAGAAAATACTAGAAAAATCTAAGAAAAGGGCATTTCTGAATCTGAGGTATGGCTGCTGTTCAAGGTCTGTTTCTACATTTCTGAAAAAGACTATTCCTATTGCTCTACTCAGACTAATTCAATGGCTTGGTTTACACATAGCAGAAAAGCCATAATGTGATTTTTTTGCTTAGTGTGATGTGTGGTTGTACCCAGTATGGCTTAACATTATGTACAAACCAGACAATTATGGCTTGTTCAGCAAACCACAATTAATGTTTACAAATTCTGATTTATTATATATGAACCAGACCAGACAGCATTGTGCAAGATATTCATTGGCTACTGATGCCATTAAATGGAGCAAGTCTTTTTTTCTCCTTGTGTTAAAGCATATTCAGCAAAATACAGCCACTGAATGTGATCTACTGTGTTATGTTGCATGCACAGATCCAAAGAGAAGCTTCAAGTGTGCTACTCCGTCAAGACTGCTGCTGTCACTAAGCTTCCTACAAAGTTAATATTTGGCTTTTTGAAAAAATGATTACTTTCACAACACATCTAATTTTTCAAACTGAGAAGTAAATGACACATCATTTAAAAATGTAATAAATACATAATTTTGAGGGTAGTTTTGCAGCCCTGTCCCCATTATTAGTAGTGCAGCCTCCTTCTCCTCTTGTTCCTCTCCAGTTGTTACTGAACATATTTTGATGATATTGATAACATCATGAACATTAGGCTTAAGATTCTGCAGTTATTTAGAAGAGATGCTCTGAAAAAGGCAGGAATACAGATTTATCACCTCTCCATGACTCATTAAAGCAGTTACCTGGAAGTTTCTCCTGCAGCCACACAATGCAGGAAATCCTGCTTTAAGGAGTCATAGACTAGTGCTGTGTCTATGCTCCAAAGCCTCTCTTTTGAATTGAATCAGGAGCACTGTGTAATTCTATTATTGTATGTTTTAATTCAACTGATAGTTTTAGTTCAGCATTTGTTGCTGTTTTTAATATGGGTTGAATTCAAATGGTCTCCCTTTTAAAAAGGAACAGAGGTGTTTTCAAGTTAGACTAGGAGAAGTTTCAGTTAGGGAACCTGGGTCCACTTAAATATCCTTTTTTAATATAGATTATACTGTATTCTGTCTAGCCAATACCAGCCCTGCCTTCCTTTTTGCCTGTGAGCTTCTTTTAAAACTAAAAAAAAAAATCATTATTTTTCTCCCTACTGCCCTGAGCAATAAGAAACTCTCCTAAGTTACCCTCATGACCACTGACAATTTGTCCCTTAACATCTTAATGTATTACATGAGCATAGCCTTCCTATCCTTTGTAAGGAAAAGATCTGAGATTTTCAAAGGAAAAGAGTGCTGCTTTTCTCAGCACTAGTTTGATATTTTTTTAAAAAAACTATCCTGGCTGTTTCTGAATACTTTGATGTTATACAGTGCTGTAGTAGCAGTTCAGTTTCCAGAGATGGCAATATTAAAGACTAATTTTTCTTCAGTGTCCCTTAAAGTCCAATTTCTTATTCTTCCAATCAGTGAATGAATCAGGGTACCTCTTGTTTCCTTATGGCTCAGCTCCTGTGTGGATTTTTCAGCAAAAGAAATAAATCAGAACATCCTCTGACATATGTGGCTTGAAAAGAATCAGGAACTTGATGCCAAGTTGATTTGGTAACCCCAGACAGGACCTGCTTCTATCTACTATTTAAATAATTAAAGTCCAGTTGGGGAAAACCAATCAAGGTACTATGGCAATCATCCATTACAGTACATGTTTTAGCCAATGTAATTATGCTGACAATCACTCTGGCTTGCAAGGTTTGTAACTGCCCCATAAAATGAATTTACCCTACCATATGTGTTATCCATGGGTGCTCCAAAACATGGCTGTTACTATAGACATTATCAAACAACTGGCAACCCATAACAGATGCTACGTTTAACTTCACATATTGTGAATTGTATAGGAATGCCTCAAATTATTAATTAGCAACATCTGGTTCATTCAGATTCTGGTTATGCAGTTTCCTACTGGGTCGGAAAGCACCGTTGACGGCTATACTCTCAGAGCAATTTTTGCCCTTCTCATCTGCATATAATTCTAAGAGGCTGTCACAATCTCATTTTTTTTCAATTACTGTCACAGCAACAGCTATTGGGCCTTTTAACTACAAAGTATGCTGATCTTCTGGATTATAGTATTTTTCAGTTCTATCATGCATTATTATTTATCTTCTGGATTATAGTATTTTTCAGTTCTATCATGCATTATTATTTAAAGGCTATTTATAGAGTAAAAGCATTTAGCTTGTCTCATTTTAAACCAATACTGGTTATTTCTCTTGAACTAGTATAGCTATATCCCAATAAATAAAATCCATTTCAAAACAATATAAATATTATGATTAAATTTAAAGGATGAAGCTACAGTCTCTTAACCTTTTATGTGGGAG